TTTCCAGAACTGGGGATTGACTCAGGCCCTTGTGCTTGCCAGGCAAGTGCTTATTCTACTGAGCCATCTCCCTGCCCCCCTACAATGTGCTTATCGGTAGCCTGGGACTCCCACTCTCTATGGCAGTGCTGACCCGGCCCACAGGTGCCTGGGCCCTGCTGCTCACTTGTATCAGGTGGGCCAGACTTGGGGGTGCAGGTCTCAGGGTGCGTTCTGGGCAGTGTCCTAGCTAGATCCACGGAGTCCTAGTGTTGGATGGAAATGTCCCCCTCTGGTTTTCAAAGGGCAAGTGGCTCACAGGGCCTGCTCCCTGGGGGAGGTCAGAATTTCCCAGAGCTGCACGAACTGCTGTGAGCGGTCCCCGAGGTGCGTCTCTGAAGGGTTTGACCTTCCTGCTCTTCCCACTCACTCCTTTCTTGTTCTGCCCTACCGTGAGCTACCATGAGCTGAAATCAACCTCTTCTTAAATTGTGTCTGGGTATTGTGTCCCAGTTGCTACTCACACCCCAAATCAACTTCTTCCACCCTTCCCCTGGGCACCTTTCTGCAAATGACTAGCCTCTGCCAGGGGCTCCTCCCCTGCACTCCCCTCAGTCTGCAGCTGTTAGGTCTCCTGGCCCAGAGGCCTGTGGGCAGAGAGGACCAGCAGCACATTGCAGTGAGGCATAAGCTGGATAAATGTGGAAAAGAACAGGTAGTGACTCTTTCTTGGAAGGGTCTTTGCTGGGTTGTGAGCGCAGAAGACCCAGAGTAGGGACAGATGCTCCATCCCATACCCTCTTTCCGCAGCCTGGCATGGAAAAGGTGTTCAGTTGATAATGAAAAATAAACCCAGGTAAAAATCCCATGGCCCAGAGATAGTGGCCAGAGTCTCCTCCCCAACTTTTCCACACCCCAGGCAAGTGGCTGGAGGTAGAGGGTAGCCTTGGACATAGGACTTGGCCTTTCCTTGGAGGGACGACTTCCTGAATCCCAGGGGTAACACCGGGAAGATCCAGCGAAACACTGTCCCGACCTTCCTGTGCAGCCCCAGTATGAGGCGAGTGCCCACTTGGCCTGTCACAATCACAGTCCCTGGAGAGGTGACAGCGGGTCCTTTGGGACTTGGAGAACTCTTGGGAAACCACTGTGGAGTGTGTGCAGGGGCTCCCCAGGGCCCACGCACCCAATGTAACAGAGCCCCACACCAGCCACACAGAAAACACTGCTTTATTAACTGCGTTTGCCAACACACGAGGAGTGTAAGGGGCTCCTGAAGACACAGGCCCTGGTGGGCCCAGCTTCTGAAGCCCCCGTGAGTGAGCAGGACAGGATGGGGCAGGGAGCTACGCAGCAGCGGCAACAGAGAATCATGCAGGGCACAGCGGGCACTGGCCACACCGAGGTGACCGTACATTCTATTGCTCGTTGAGGGTCGTGAACATGGACAATGTACAAAAAGGAGAAATAGGTCTTTGCGGTAATGAAAATACATTTTTCTCTACAAAGGAATCTTTTCTAATACAAGAAAATAAATATTGCAACATAAGCCAAAAATAATTTAAAATTGCTCTTTTCAATATATTTTCAATATTTCTCTTGTATATTAACAAATGGCACATCACTTTCTTTGAAACAAAGACAGAAGGTGTCTCCTCCTGTGACATTCATATCACCCCCCACCACCTCCCCCCATGTGATTTGGAGCACAAAGAGTTTGTGCATCTGAGGGTGAGGGCGGCGGGAGGGGCCTTAAAGAACAGCCAAAGAAACGTCGCAGGCTCCAGCCCTGGCTCTTTGGCCAATGTGACCAGCTGGGCCGAGAGCACAGGAAAGTGGCCTTGCCACAGGGATCCAGACCATTCCGCAGAGCTTTGGGCATGGGCAGAGGTTGGCCACGTCTGGCAGTGAACAAGGGGATGCCAAGTCCAGCTGCGGTCAATGTTTGTTAGAATCGGGCAGCTGGCTCGTCAGGAATCGCCCCAGCAATTCCCAGTGTGCCGGTACGTCGTGCACAAGGGTGTGCACAACACGGTCACAGAAGGCAGGCGCCGTGTGCACACATGTGCACACACGCGCAACTACGGCCCAACACCTGCGTCTGGAACCCTGCGCAGCTTCTCCAAGAAAGCCGAGGCTTTTAACACTGGAAATGCTCGCGCGCTGTCAGACTTCCGAGCTCATTTCATAAAATAAACGAGCACTCTACCTTTCTGCTCCTTATCTGTTTCAAAATATATTTATGATACATAAAAATACTTTCCTCGCATTTTCCTTTGTCACGTGATGAGGGGAGAGGCGGGAGGCGGCCAGGGCAGGTGAGAGTGTGGGATGTGAGCCGGATGAGTTACAGAGCAGCTGCCGCCTCCCGGGAGAGGGCGAGCGTGGGCGACGCGGACGCGCGCAAGACCTGGAGGCCTTGGCCGGAAGAGGAGCCCGCCTGGGTCTCGGGTGGCAATGCGCTCCACATCGTGGACAGGGGGCCGGCAGCAGAGTGAGGGCTGCCAGGGAAGGTTGGGGGCTGCCGGGCAAGGCTGGACGAGAGGCCAGTGGCCTTGTCCCCAGTGGCCTGGTGGACACCCTGGAAGTGGAGACAGCGGCTTGCTTAGCACTGCACGAGGGCCTGGTAGGGAGCAGAGGGGTCATCGGCCAGACAGGCCCAGGCCAAAGCCACGGCCAGCAAAGCCAAACTCCAGGCTGCCGTGCGCAGCAGCTTTCCGAGGACCATCGGCTGACCCTGTCTGCCTTCCCAGCCCCCGCTCCCACACTCACCCTCCCATTTCCACTCACCCAGCCTGGCCCCTGCCCCAGCGTGGAGCGCAGGGCTCCAGGGTGGGGGCTGAAACTGCTCAACCTTAGAGCCTCGCCAGCACCCCACCACCAGCAGGGTTTGGTTGTTTTCAGCTCAGGGTGACCTGAGAAGACCCAAAGCCCAGGGAAGGAAGGAAGTTCTGTCCAAAGCCGGTAAACAGAGACTGGGGTTGGGATGCTGATGCTGACGCTGACACCGCACTGTCACTATGACCGAGGGGGGCAGGCAGCCTAAGTCTAGTGGGAGCTCATGCCTTCCCCACGCCCAGGGTCCTCAGGGCACCCCACTTCTGTGGAGTCCATGCAGATCAGACACGTCTGTCCAATCCTCTGAACCTTGTCACCATCTTTTGTTTCTGCTTTTGCTAAATTCCCATGAAACCAATGACAACTGTCGATGACACTACCACTGTCGTACCTTGGTAAGTTTTGGAGTTGCGGGTGGGTGAAAGTCAAGCTGTTCCCAACCTGGCTTGGTGTGTTTGCACGGGGCGGGGGCCACATGGGAAAGTTGCTCTTTGTGCTGGTTTCACAGTCGGGGTGTCCCCCGAGTCTCAGAGTGGACGGGATTGCTCACAGTGGCTCAGCCCAGGGCCTGGAAGCCGAGCCCTGGGACCCATGTAACAGCAGCAGCAGCAGCGAAGCCTCCTCTTCCTCCTCCTCCTCCAAGACCCGGGCTCTCCTCAGGAGTGCACAATGAACAGGTTTCTGCACTTTGTTGCTAAAGAACTCCATTTAAAAAAGTCCAAGTGACAAGTTGTCAGGTCCGGGCTGTGCTGTATTAGGGTCAAAGTATTCTTTGGCATCCATAGAATGATTCGACTGACTCACTGGACTTCTGCAAGGTTCCTGTTGAAGTTCTGGCTTCACCAGTGGTGGAAGTGACCCAGGAGTAGTTCGTACAAGAAAAACAAAAACAAAAACAAAAACACAAAAAACAAAAGCCCCAATGTTTTCACGGAATTCCTTTTTTGTTTGTTCCCTGAGCTATCACCCTGGGGCCACTCCACTGAAACCTTCAGTGCAATTACGGAGGACCTGGAGGAGGGCGAGGAGGGAGGGAGGACATGCCTGGGACAGGGGTTTAAGGCTCTAAGGGACAAAAGGACACAGGACCATCCAGCAAGACTTCACCCCGGCAGGCTGTGGGCCTGCCCAGGGCCCCGGGATCCCACTGCGTGTTGGAAGGTGTTTCCAAAAGGAAACCAAGGAAGCTCATCTCTTAGCAGGACTAGGAACTTGAAAAGGCAAACGGTCTGGTCTGGCCAGGCCAGTTCTGTGTGGGAGTGACCAGCCTTCAGCCAAGCCTGGCTCCAAGGAAGGAAGAAAGGAAGCCCTTGCCCTCCGCCGGGCAGTGGCCCTCCCCTGGAGTCCTCCATCTGTGGGGTGGCCGGCTGTGTGGGAGTCCCCTGAGTAAACGGCACAGCTCAGGAAGGATTCTGGGAGCCCCTTCCCAGAGCCACTGGGCTGGCCACTGGCAGGGGCAGAGCAGCAAGGCGGGGAGGTGACGGGTGGGGCGCAGGCCTCAGGCGACGTGGGTTGGTCAGGAATCGGTGGCCCCCTGCAGCCCTCAGTGCTTTCTCGTAGGAACTCGTTGTGCTTGTGACAGTGAGTAAACTCTGGCTGGGTGTCACTTAGGATATTTCTTGGGGAACCACGGGAATGCAGCAGGACCCCACCCCACAACAGGCCCTCCTGCGATGGGGGCAAGGTGGGACAGGCCCCAGGCTGGCCCATCTGCCAGGAAATAATGCCCAACAATGGTCCGTGTCACCCAGCGGCAGTGGGCAGGAGTCCTGAGCTCTTCTTCACTTTGCCTACATCTAGCCAGAAGCCCAACAATGCCGCGTGGGTCACGTCAGGGGTGGCACAAAGGACCAGGTATGGTCCTTGTGGCCGGAGCCGTGGAAGGAATCCTAACATCCTAGGCCAGCACAGAGGAAAGACAACAGTGTGGAATTTGGAACTCTCTATTAAAAATAAAACCACAACAGAGTGGTAGCCTCAAAGGTCTGGGACACTCAGCAGAGATTGGAAATGGCAGTTGTGACCGGGCTGAGGCCTTGTGGGGGACCAGGGTAGGGCCTGGGACAGGGATAGGGGAGAGTTAGGAGGCCAGTACCCCCATGCGGACCACCTCCTCAGCCCCCGCCTCCCGGGAACCCCGCTGCACACCACCGTCCTCTGCCTCTACGTCTGAGTCGCTCATCTCCCCATCGGAGAAGTAGCCGTCGGCCTCTGCATCAAAGTGTAGGCTGACCTTTGGCCTCTCGGCCACAGCAGAGGGTGGTCCTGTCGCAGCATCGGGCCTGGCACCCGGCGATCTCCGCGAGACTTTGCTCTCACGGGGTGGCCGGAGTTGGCCCAGGGGTTTAGGGCTCACCGTAGGGCCAGGCACTTGGACATGCAAATCAGCCGCTGCTGGGGCTGCCTCCTCCGGGGTCTCGGGGGCCAGCGGCAAGGGGCTGTCTGGAGCTGCTGGTATGGGACAGTCCCCAGCTGTCGGGCTGGACGGCAAGTGAGAAGACGTCCGCCGTGGTGGCTTCCTGGTCGGTGGCCCCTGCCCCCCCCTGCCGCTGCCTGCATCCTGACCCCAGGGCTTCTTGGCAGGCTTCTCTGGAGTCATCCGTGAGCCGGGTCCATCGTGCTGTGGTGGGGGTTTCTTCTTGGCAGGCAGGCGGGTGCGGCCACGGGCCTTCCTGGCAGGGTCACCGGGTCGCAGTGCTGGGTCCCGCATGAAACTGAGCAGTGTCTCCTCGTCCTGCAGCAGCTCCTCCGACAGCAGTCCTGGGGCAGGGTCCTCGCGGTGCCCGTTGTTCAGGGACCACTCGCTCATGGCCATGTCCTCCGCTGTGATCTGCACCGACTGTGCCAGCCAGCTGTTGAAGAAGGTGCCATCGATGGGGAACGAGGTGGACAGGCCTGAGAGGGGAAGAGAGGGGGCAATGAGATGCCATCAAGGGTGTCGCCCTTCAGGGGCCCCTCTGTACCCTCTTTCTGCTCTCCTGCATGCCAGACTCCCATAAACCATCTTGCTTGGTCCCATCACTACTGCAGGGTGACAACAGCCCCCTCTCGCCTGAAGCGCGTCCCACCCGGTCTGGCATGGTCATTAGTGGAGTGGAGCACAAATGAAATAGTGAGCTCCTTCTCCAAGTATTACTGAGAATTTGAAGGTAGCAGGAGCTCAGCAGGTAAGCAAGCACAAGGGGCAGAAGGGAAACACCTTCGGCCACCAGGGGGCAGTAGACCTTCACAAGCAGGTCCTCCCAGAGTTTGAATCAAAGCACTGGGGGGAGGGGCAGGGAAGGAAGGGCGGGACAAGAACAAGGGTAGCAAGATGCATCTGGGTGGGTCTGTTGGGTCCCAGGCCCAGCTATGGGTCCTCTCTCCTTTTCTATGGTCTCCGAAGAGGACAGTTTGTGAAGTAGGGCCTTTGTTTCTGAGACACGGTGTTACGTGTAGCCCAGTCTGGCTCCTAACTCAGGGTGATCCTCCTGCCTCAGCCTCCATGGTGCTGGGATTCAGGTATGCACCACCAAGGCTGGCTCAGGGCCTATTTTTAGACATCCAGGTTCCTCCCTTCTTGACACTGAAGGACATCAAAGATGACCTGAGGCTTCTGTGCTGTTAGTGAGGCCAGAAGGGGATTCTACTCCGCTCCCAAAACCAGCTCTGGAGGAAGTGTATGACATTCTGGGTGTCCCAAGTCGAAAGCTGGGATTCCCTGAGGGCTGCTCTTGCCTAATGAGACAGGAAGGAGGTGTGTGACAGACAGCCAGGGCCCGCTGCCATTCCTCTGGGTGTCTCTGTGCTGAGGAAGAGCCCACTGGGGAGCGTGCACAGTGGACAGGATGAGAGCTTCCACCACTCCTCGCCTCTGAGCATGGTATGGCCCAGAGTCCTCTGGGAAAACCTAGCCCCCAGGACCAGGCCCCCACTGTTTCGTGGAGGGGAGCCTCTCTGGAAGCGGGTGCAGCTCTGATTCCTCTGTGGGTGGCACCTGTGCGCAAGGCAGGCATCAGGCAAGAAGGGCCTAGCAACCCTCCAGGGCCCAAACTTGCAGCCAGCCTTCCCAAGTGAGGCCGTGAGTGAAGCAACAGTGGGAGCTCACCCAGCTGCCCCAGGACGGAGTCCGGGCCGGCCTTGACTTTCTCCTTCTTCTCCGGGCTACTGCCCTTGGGAGCCTCTCGGCCTTTCCTCTTGGCATCACTCTTCTTGCCCTTTGCTCTCCTCCCAGCTTGCTCTGCATTGGGGAAGGCAAGAGGGAGATGGTGACCTACAGGGCCTGCGCCCCACCCCCGCCAGCCAGGGCTCACCTCCAGGGCAGCAAGGTCAGAGCTGGGGCCTGGGACCTCGCTTGGTCAGGCACAGCTGGAGGAGGATGGGGGGCAGGACTATGGCCACCTTGGGGGGTGATGGGGTGGGCTCCAGTCTGACCTCCACAACTCACAGACCTGCGAAGTCTGAGGAGGCAACCCTGGACATGGTGGGGCGTAGCGCATGAGACTAAGGAGCTGAACTATGGATGGAAAGAACATTGGCTCCAGGGCCGGAGGCTCGGTTCCAATCTAGACACCCCGTGAGCAGTCAGCGCCTCAAGAGCAGGCCTCCTGCCTTGGTTTGCCAGTCTGCTTTTGTGGTCAGGTGGCAGGTAACACCTGGTCTTACTATCCTTCCCATCCATGACAATCTGCAAATCCGGGGAGCAGGGGAAAGGTGGAGAGGAAGGCGCAGCAGCAGGAGTACCCCTAGCCTCAGGCAGACATAAGGCAAGAGAGCTTTCCGGACCAGGTTAAGAAAAGGCTCAGACCCGCGGCCCCCTCTGTGCTGTAGCTGGCAAGGCAGCATCAGGCCGGGCCTCAGTCTCCTGCCCTGTGATGTAGGGCCCAAGCCTGACACGTGGGAGCTGGGCTTCCTGCCCTTGGAGTCTGGACTCCTTCCCTCAGCTGCAGGACTCTGCCCACCTCACCTTCCCCCCTCTCTGGGCGTTTTCTGGCCCCCAGTACTACCCATGCCGGGGTCTTTCCAGTTTCTTTACCAAATCGGGCTCTGGCCCTTGGTCCACGTTGCTGTTCCCTTGTCTCTAACCTGGTTCAAATCATGGCCCCACACTACTTCTACTGAGTGACTTTCCTCGCTTCCGGGCAACAGGTCAGGGACCCAGACGCCACGTCGGGGCCTGGGAGGCCAAGTGTGGGCATCCGCTTTAGGCAGGAACAAACTGGTCTCCTGAGCCACTGCCTGCCCTAGACAAACTGCTGCTGGTTGTTGCCACTTGAGACAAGGAGCCGCCAAGCGGGGACGCAAATCCTTACATTTCGTTTCTGAGCCCGTGACCAATGGGGTACGGGGTCCCTGCACCTGCCCTGCCATCCTGAGAGCTGACCGGGGGTGCCTGGTGGGGACTGCTTCTGTGGCCAGAGGCACAGCCGCAGCCAAGGACTAGCCGTGCAGGCACTGCTCCAGTGGCACCTTTGAGCTGTCTCTGCACTGACCTCGATAGCAGCCCCCAGACAGTGCTTTCCTTTCTCTCCGCAGAGTGCAAGCTTCGTGAGGGCAGGAGCGCGATCTGCACTCGGCCAGTGCCCACTGACAGACTGCACAGCAGACAGGAGCCTCAAACGCTCCAGAATCATCAGGGCAGCTGCCTCAGTCTCTGGGTGACTGTGAGTATGAGTGGCTGCGACTTGCTCGGACCCCACACCTCAAGCCAGCAAAGCCTGTTCCCAGCTCAGGATGGGCAGAGCCCGAAGAGCTGTCTGGCAGACTGGCTGCTGGGAGGAAGGGATGGCATGGGTCCTCTGTCCCTGGTGGCCCAGTCACTTTTCTCCATTTTCTACTCTGGGCACAGCCTTGACCTCGAGTGTGAGAGAGCTCTCTTGGTTCAGCTATTTCACTACGTGGAAACTCGACACCAGAGCGCCACTTCTGGGTTAAGCACCCCCCTCCTTAACACATCACACTCCTGAACTGTGTCTGGCATGCTTCTCAACTGGCCACGCTCCACTGCCAACAGCTTCCATCCAGGTCTGTCAAATGCACTGCCGAAGAAGGTAAGACAACAGAGGAAACTGCTGATTTCACAGCCAGGATCCCGTCAGGGCTGGGGAGAGGACCAGGTACTATGCTGTCTCTGGAGCAGGCGCTTTCCTGCCTTACCCTGGCACAGAGCCACACACATCTTGGGTCTGCCTCCGTCCGCCTGAGGCCTGCTCCTGAAAGGCCCTCTGAGGGCAGGTCTGCTGTCCCTGTTCCCAACACAGTGGAGCCTTGGCAGACCCCATCTGGGCTTAGTAAGTGGTGGAGAGGGTGGAAGGGCCAATGGCCCCGAGTTCCACACATCCACCCCACTGGACCCCCCCACCTCAGGCCCAGCCCGGCACAGAGGTGGCCAGGGACAGCAGGAAAGGTACCCACCTCGGCACAGATCCTGTTCAATAAGCTTCATCTGCAGGTGGAATATCTGCTCCTGGAGCTTACACATGGCATGCTTCGTTCTCTCACGGCGGGTCACCATGTAACACAGATTTCTAACCTGCGGAAACACAGGAAGGTTTCCCACCTGGCTCACGGGCAGCCACCCCAGGTCTCTCACTGCTGTGAGCTCTCCAAGGCCCGCCTGGAGCACTTCCTGCCCATACGCACCCCCAGCCCACGCCATGACCACCAGGCCCAGGGCGTCCATCACTGCTAGCTTCCACCTGGGCCAAGACCTCTCCAGGGGTGACTTTTGCTCTGAGCTCAAGTGCCAGGTCTGCTATGGCTTCACGACTATGAGGCCCTGGCCTTGTCCTGAGCATCACCCCAGGGTCCCTTTGTCGCCAGGGCTTGCCACCCAGCAGAGCAGAGAGATGCTGGCCGAGTGAGTCATCTTACAACCAGGCTATGTGGACACAGACCTGGGACAGGGAGATAGGCATCCTAGACACAGGACTCCAGTCCAGCTCCCTCCAGGGCCTATCTGCCCCGTTCTCTCCCCCTCCGAGATAAGCCAGTCAGACCTATCCGCTCTTGCTCAATCTGGAAAGGCCCATCAGATAACCTCCCCCTCCCAGTCCCTCCAAGGCTTTGCAGAAGGGTGTTCTTCCAGAGGCGCCTTCTGCAGGGACCTCAGAATAGGACCTTAAGAGGAAACAAGGTCCCATGGATTGAGTGGTTAAAATGAAGTCATATTTGATCAGTGTGGGTTCTTAATCTTCACAAAAGGGCTGGGGGAGATGTCCTGCTTTCTGAGGAGTTGGAGTTTTAAGTACACCACAGATAGCACTACGGAATCTGGAAACTCCTGCCCCAAGCGAGGGCTTCGAAAGTGAGGTAATATGGGACATAGGTCAGTGCACTTCAGTATGGGGAGAAACACTAGAACTTCCGCTGGTGGGTTTTTCTAGGCTCTATTAGGGATTCTGGTCATCTTACAATAGGCAGTGGCAGTTACGAGATAATAAAAATACATTCTCAGAGGTAATCTGCTCAATCTTTTTACTGGTAAGGATATACCATGCCATCAGGAATGTCTGGAGCTTCTGACACCCAAAATAGTAACACTAGCTTCTGTCAGAACCCCAACATTCTTTGGCTGGTACTATGGTCACACTGCAACCCACTCCCATCTCTTAGTTCAACCACTTTTTACAGTTCTCCCAAGAATCTTAGTAACATAGCTACTTTTTGCAAATGTTTTAATGAAGGCATTTTGCTATCAGTAAGTTTTGAAGGAAGCCTAGAGGTAGGGCCGAGGCGCAGTCAGGTTGACAGCAGATGCCTGGAGGTCTTCCGAGGTTGATCCAGCTCTGGAGCACAGGACAGAGATGCAACTGGGGGAGACTATGCATGTGTAAGACGCTGGGGCCCGGGGCGGGGGTGCAACTCAGGGGGAGAGTGCTTGCTAAACATGTGCAAGGCCGGGGGTACCACACCCAGCACTGCAAAAACAAAAAGGTGGAACCCAGTGCCCCCTCCGGTCCTGAGAAGGGAAAACAATTTCTGGGAACCCAGGAGCAGCTGTCAACAAAGCAAAGGACACAGGACACTGACACAACAGCAGATCTACAGTCCTCAGGAAAGGATTTCAAGGTCCGGGACAAGGTGGACAATGAGGACTGTAGTAGGCTGGGGAAGCATGGAATGAAGACACTAGGAGGGATGGAGGGGAAGGAGAGCTGGGGTGCTGGTGAGGATCCCATGCCAGAGGGGGGAGGAGGCGGGGTTTGCTTAGGAAGATGGTGTGTGTGGCGGGGGGACAGTTCAGGCCCTGCAAAGGGGATACAGGCTGGGAGAGATGGCCATAGGATGGACAAGGCCAGACTAGGACGACGAGGGCTGGGAGGTCAGATGCATCCAAGCAGGGCCTCTGCTGGCCAGAACGTGGGCTCGCCGGTCCGAGGGACAGATGAGGCTGCTTACTAAGAGCTGACAGTCACTGTGGGACATTCACCTATGCTACAGGGTCTCTCCTGTAGTCCATGGGGGCCCATGTACCAAATAGGTTGTACTGTGGGCTGCGGGAGGCTCTGCTGAGGACTCAGCAGAACGAGGCTATAGCAGCAAGAGATGGAGTGTGTTCTGGGCTGCTGCGCTGGCAGCACCGGAGAGGTGGGTGGGGGAGCCCAGGACAAGGCGGGCTTCAGTGAAGGGGTGGGGCCGAGCAGGCCACAATCTAAGCCAGTGGTATAGCTCACGGCAGCACATGTGCCACGGGTTCACCACCACCAATGCGGGCATTGAGCACAGAGTAAGCAGAGTGAGGCTGTGACCAGGAGGCAGCTGTCAGAGGGCAGGATGAGGTACTTCCAGCTAAGCCCTTCTCTCTGGGGGAAGCAGTTGAACACAAGGCATGCGGGAGCTCCCACCTCTCCCTCCTTAGGGCCGGGTATGCACAGGAGCTCCCCTCGGCCGCCCCCCTCGCTCGTCATTCCACAGCTGTGGGATGAATCAGCAGCAGGATCCACAGCCCCAGCCAGCCCGTCCTCCAGGACTTGGCCACCAGCGTGGCTGCGAGGGGACACTGGCTGGCGTCTGCAAGGCTGATGTTCAGCGCTGTAATTTTTTTGTCAGCTGTGAATAACTCTGGGAAGCTGCACTGAGCGGCCCTGCCCTCCCAGAGCTGCTTGCCAGTGAAGGGGCTGAAATTTTTAGGAAAGTACATCTTTGGCAGAGCCTTGCCTAGTACATCCAAGGCCCTGGTTCAATCTCCAGCTCCACAAAGAAGCAGGCTTTCTGGCTGACCATAAAATGGGATGCCGCCAGCAGCCCCAACTCCTGCAAACCCTTGCAGGGGCAAATCAGTCAAGGGGGTGCCAGTCCTCTGGGGAACATGAGGCTCGGCTCCCCTTCTATGGGCGAGCAGTGACAACTGTCAAGGCCAACAACAGAGGCCACCGTGCTAACTTCTGGCCTCTATCCTTACTGTGATCCCCACGGACAGTCTGATTTTTGAGTCAGGGTCTTGCTATGTGGCACATGCTGGCCTCCAGCTTGAGGTGATCCTCCTGCCTCAGCCTCTGGAATGCTGAGATTACAGGCACTGCGCCACCATGCCCAGCTGACAGTTTGACTCTCATCCCTAATTTAGAGACTAGGAAAATGAAACTTGAATACATGGAGATGGAAAAGAAGGCACAGAGCCAGGTGGACACAGAGCTAGGCTACCGAAGGCCCCAATCTGAGCCTGACCCTGCACCGGCACATGGACCCAGGCCCAGCTGGCCTGCTGCCCAGACCTAGGCTGGGTACTCTTGACTGTCGGCCCTGGGCCGCTGCTGGCCAGGCCCGCACACCGTGGGGTTTTATAGAAAGCCTTCTGGACAGTGGAATTCTCCACACTATTCATTCATCTAGGTCCCTGACACATGGCTGAGGCCCTGCGGCTGGCACACCAAGCGGCTTGTTACTCTGATGCTGTTCTCCAAAACCCACAGGCTGAACACACACTGGCCTGCTTTCTGTTGCTGCCCATGAGCCTACCAAGTGGATGCTGGGAAGCAGCACGGGATAGGGTGCTGCACTAAGCTCCACAGATCTCTTTCCTGAACCTGCTCAGGTTGCTTGGGGGCGTCCCAGCCCTAGCCCCGAGTTGCTGGCACTGGGGTTGGGGGGGCCAAGGGACGATGACAGGGTGTGCTTGCCCTGGAAGTGTATGTAACAGAAGAGAAGCCAGCTTCGCTCCTCTCGACCTCAGCCCTTCCCCTAATGCAGGTTCAAACTCAAATTCCAACCCAGGAGACAAGTTCCCCCTAAGACTTCCTGTATCTTTGTCTCCCTGAGCCTTGGTTTCTTCATCTGCTCTGCAGAGCTGGGGAGACCTTCAGAAGTGGGTGAGGGCCAGACTGGAGGCCACCGCAGCGCAGGGCAGTCAGACCTCCTGGGTCATGGAGGAGACATCAAGTGCGAAGCAGCTGATGACAAGGGAAAGCCCAGAGGTGGAAACTCTCAGGAAAACTCTGGAAGCAGCACTGGCCAGAGCGCTTGGATCCGAGGCCCCTGCCACACATGAGGAGGCTGGGCTGCCTGGGAGAGGGGGCTGCCATGCCAGTGGGCTTGGCCTTCCCCACGGCTCAGGGAGTCAAAGGCACAGAATGTCTTAGGGGAACCTGTCTCCTGGGCTTGGAGCTTGAGTTCAGCCCTGTATTAGGGGACACAGCCAGGGACACCTGATCCTTCCCACCTTCTATGTACTTCTGGCTGGTGGCAGGCGGACAGTGTCCAGGCACTGGACAATGAGCTGCATAGAAGGGTCCAGTCATCCCGCCCAACCCCCGCCAAGATGCTCTCTCCACTTTACACACTCGCTAACTGTGTTCTAGGTAAGACAGCAAACGTCGTTCATCCCCAATCTGCCTGAGCCCCGGGCTGCTCTCAAAACAGGGCTGTTAGGTGGAGCTCTCAGTTTGCTGAGTCCTTGGCACAGAAAGGCCCCTCACAGGCCTGTCAAGGTTACCCACCCTCTCCAGGTCCTGCCGCAGGTGTGTGAAGAGCTTCAGGCGGCGGTAGAGGACGTCCTGCTCCTGCTGGGCCAGATTGTCCACCTCGTCTGTCTTGGGCGTCAGCAGCGGCTGATTGGCATTGGCTTTCCTCTTCAGCTTCCAGTACTGGTAGATGAAGTCGACCAGGGCCTCAGCCACGTCCAGCCGCTCGGCCACCTCGGCGGGCTCCACCAGCTCATAGAAGTCCTCCTCCAGCTGCTGCAGCCGCTGTTTGCGCAGGGTCACCTTCTCCACATCCTCGCAGGCCTGGCTGGACTCCACGGGCTCCGAAGACGGCGGGTTCCGCGGGCCCCCGTCGCTGTGCTCCTGGCAGAAGGACTTGAACTTGACCTCATCATTGTCTGCTAATATAGTCCGCATCTCCAGGCCATGGTCAAAGGCGCAGGTGACATGGAATGCGGTGACACAGGAAGGCATTGAACACTGGAGGAAGAAGGGCAGGGTCAGGCACTAAAGCAGCCCTGGCAGGTGGAGAAGGCTGTGGGGCAGCTCACGCAGAATCCTGGGAAGCCTCCAGAGCAAAGGGCTCGGCTTCCAATGTCCTGCACAGTATGGGGGGAGCACTGCAGTGGTGGAGCTTGGGAACACCTAGAAAGGTCATGAGATCAGCACTCTATGCCAGGGAGCTCAACCATGAGAGGCTGGCTGTGCAACCACACGGTGGACAGGCTGTGCTTCTGTACCGGAGAAGGCATCAGAAGGGATGCAGACCATGGGTCACTCCCCACCCTGCCCCCCAGCATAGTATCTAAGGTATCTGTCTCCCTTTCTGCTCTAGGACGAGTTGCAGGCCTATCCCTTCGTGCTGTTAACCAGGCAGGTGGAGGCCTGACCTTCCCTTCCAGCACTGGAGAAAGACCACAGGGCAGCTGAAACCGTTTCAGCAATACTGTGCCCAACCATTACATGCAGGGACTAGGGTGCTGGGCTTGCAGCCATCTATCTGAAGAGCTTATAGATGGGGGGCGGGAGGGGGGGTGGCGCACCGGTTGATGGCAGTGACAACTCTGTTCCTGGAGAGACAAGGGCAATAACAGTATACGATGGTTTCGCCTGCCGCCAAACTATAGATTAGAGACACCCCATCACCTGTGACTGAGAAGCGTACATTCTTGGCTTCACCCAACCACCTCAGTGAGGAGCAGGCCCAGCCCTGGCTGTCAGGAGAGCCAGCGGGCTTGGCCAAAGAGGAAGCTCAAGCCTTGTTCCTTCCATGTGCCATCTGACACCGAAAGTGGGGTCAAGGCCAGGCATGGCGTGCAACTGGCACTCTGGGAGGCTGAGGCAGGAAAACTGAAAGTTTGAGTACAGCCTGGGCAACTTAGCAAGACCCCACCCTATTATTTAAAAAGGCTTATGGGACCGGGGATGTAGCTCAGTGGCACAGCACCTACTTGGCAAATGTGAAGTCTTGAGTTCTATTCCTGACACCAAAAACCCACCAAGGCCCAGGAGGTGTGAAGGCCTTGGCTCCCACACCTGTCCCCATTCCTTGGGGGACCTGAGGATGGCCCCAGCCCACCTCTCCTGAGCCTATTCGCAGCAGCAGGTGAAGCGTGGCAGTAGCTGCCCATTTTCCAGGGTGCCCCAGGAGCGCCTCTCTCTGCAGCAGGCTCCAGGGCAACCAGGGGAAGTGGCCACGTACCTGGATGCAGGTGCCCGTACACTCCCTGCACAGGCTACAGGACAGAGCCCAGCGGCTGGCTGGAATATTCGAGATCTTGGTGATGGGCTCCATCTTCTCAGGGCAGCCGATGCTGACCTGGCGGGACACAGGGAGCTATTTCAGTCCTCAGTCCCTAGATGAGGGTGTGCTTCCTACTGAAATCAGCGATTGGGTGGACAGCAACGCTGAGCCCCTGGATCCCAAGTCCATCCCAACTCCAGAGGCACAGCGCAAGCTCATTGTCTGCATCCTTCCTGACCCAAGACAACCGCTCAAAGTGTCCTCATCCATGACCAGCCCAAGGTGAGACTGTGAGGACACACTGAGTGTGGCTGACCACGTGAGTTCGTGGCTACAGGCCTCAAGATGTGAACCTGAATGTGTGGATGGGGGAGACAGCACGGGTGTATGCAAGGTTCCCTCCTTCTGGACCTCAGGTCTTTCTTTTCGGGAACCAAAATTAGGCCTCCTGACAGCCTCTCTTGAGGGTCTTCAAGTGTCTCTTGGCTTCGACTTACCTCTGCTTCATCCCTCCTTTGAGGACAGGCCTGTCCCTCCATCTACAGAGCGCTGGGTGGCGGAGCACAGGGGACTCCTCACTGCCTGTGCCCATATGGAAAGAGGGCCCCTCTCCCAAGGGCTCCGTATGGAGCCCCAGTGGTTCTCTTCACTGCACCCAGCCCCAGCGAACTGGAGAGGGAGTCACAGCCCTCCATATGAGGGTTTGGAGTCAGTGACCCCTGCCATTACCAACAGCGTCACAGAAGCCTGCGCTGTGGGCGGAAGGCTGGTGCTGCAGTCCCGGCAACTTCAGCGTTTCCTGAAGATAATGTTATCTCCTGGAGTTCACAGCCTCTGCTGTACCCGGGACGCAGTGGGTGCGCACAAGCCCCCTGCTGGCCTGGGTCACAGCCCACCAGCCAGCAGGCACGGCCATGGCAGCAGCCCCACTAGCTATCATGCTTAGAGTCTCATTTTCTTTCCAGTCGGGTGGTCTGGGTTTTAAACACACAGCCTGACTTCAGTGGGAACCCCTGCCCCAGGTAAGAAGGACCTATACCTGTTGCCCCTCGAGGTGGCTGCCCAGCTCTGCACACACCCCAGACCCGTATCTGGTACCCTTCTGAAGCCCATTACCCTGCTGGCCCACCTGAGCCCTGGCCAGAATGCAGACGGAAGTCCCCTGAAGGCCTGCGGCACTGGGCCCTTTCAGGCCCATCTCCTGAGATCCCTGCGTTGTCACATGACCCAGTGCTTAGCACCCAAGCTCCATTCAGGCCCACCTCCCAGGTGCTGCTCCAGGGCCACCCCCCCACCCCCGTGCTACCTACCTCAGGAATCCAGAGGGCGCAGCTCACATGCACCCACTTGGTCCCACTTCTGGTAGGCTTCAGGGCTCCTCCTCGCTTGGGGCAGAGCAGGCACTTTGGCTGGACTCCCAGGGCACACGTCCGGCACAGCCAGCTGCCTGTGGGCACCTTGAGGATCCCGTAGCATGCCTGGGGACAGAGCAGAGGGCCACCATGCAGAGGCACTGGCCACTCTGGGGCTGCCTAGTGCTGCTGCACAGCCTCGAGGCCAGCAAGGCAGCCTCAGGGGCAACACTGGTGCCAAGGGCTCTCAGCCCCCAGCATGCACCAAAGGCCACCACTTGGTCCTCTGTGAAAGGGCACTTGGCTGCCCCTGTTGGAGAAGACTCATTTCAGCCAGACTCCTTAACTGGGGGTGGGGTGGGGGAGGCGGCATCCATGAACCGTGCACCCTGCATCTTAAGCAGAACGCAGAACTAGTCATGTATTTTTTTTCTTTTAAATAACATAGGGTTAGAGTGGCAAGTTACTCTTTATTTTTTTATTTTATTTCATTTTTTGGGAGGGCACCAGGGATTGAACTCAGGCCCTTGCACTTGCCAGGGAAGCTCTTATCCTGCTGAGCCATCTCCTGGACCCCCAGGAATGTACTACTTTTTTTTTTTTTTTGGTGGAACTGGGGATTGAACTCAGGCCTTTGCGCTTACCAAGAAAGCATTTATTCTATTGAGCCATCTCCCCGGCCCCCCAGTCATGTACTTCTAAGGACCAATGCTGAGAGCTTTCATCCTTCTTATTCCAGCTTGGGGCAGGGTTCCTTCTGGAATGCCTCAGCCCTAGGGGACGCACGGGGACCAGACCCAAGGGCGTGCGCGTATGAGGGATGCCTGCTGACACACCTGCAGCCCCTGCCTGAGTCCGCTGGGGCTGACCTAGCAGCTATGGTATGAGTGCCTTCAAAGCCACGACCAGAGGACTGCTGGAAACCCAAGCCTCAGCGCCTGAGGTAGAGGGGCATCTGCCCAGGCTCTAACCGGTCACGATGCCAGAAATGGTAGCAGGTACCTGTGGCCTTCAATACACAGCATGAAGCAAGTAACACATAATCAATAATTTAATCCTCTAGAAATCTACTTTTTGTTGTTTGCAGCGCGAGGTAGCTAATCCAGGGGCTCATGCCCCAGCCTCAACAACTCACTTTTATTTACAGTTGAAGGAACAGAGGCCCAAGCTGCAGAGCTTGTTCAGGACAGGGCCAGGCTTTGAAAGCAGGCAATCTGGCTCCAGGCTTAGTTCTCAGTCGCTACAACCAGCCAACAGGGATTTGCCAACCCTGGCTGGCAGCGCTGGGCTGTGGGCCTCCAGGCACCCACGTCACCGCCTTCTTCCAGCCTTGCCCATGGTGCACTGTGGCTGGACAGCTGTCCTGGGGCTCACCGCATCAGTGGGGACAGGGGCACCCACCTGGTGCACACAGACGTCGCACTTATCACAGAAGACCATCTCGTTGCCGTCCTCACCCTCAGGGGAGCGGCACACGTCACAGACGACATCCTCGTCATACTCGATGCCGAGCCCCTCCTGCGTCTCGATGGCCCGTGCCATGTTCTGGTGGCAGAGACTCTCCAGCTCCTCCAGCACACGCTCCAGTGTCAGTTCATCCAGCCCGGGCCTCTCTGGGGGAACAGCACGGACAGGGTTAGGACTGAGCGCCTGGGGCTGCAGGAGCCCAGAGCAGACAGCCAGGCAGAGCCACCCAGTCTCAAGGCCCCTGCGCACTGTGACCACGCATGCACACATACATGCAGGAAACACAGTGTCCCCAAGAGGCCAGCTCACTGCATGGGGACCCTCACTCATGCTGTGTGCAGGGCACATTCTGAAGGTGGCTAAACGTGGCAGAGCTGGTCCTTCCTAGGATGTGTTGGCCTGGATGTCCTCACCCAACGACGCCAGCCCCATCTGTGAGCTCACTCACTCTTCCTGCCACACCCCAGGTCCTCTACAATACTCCCAAGAATTCCCAAGGGTATCACGTGCTCTCATTGTCCCCACCTGACAGCTGCAGAGACCAGGATACAGAGATAGTAACTACACTGGCGTGATGCCATAGGGACTTTCCACTTGGCCTCAGTGACTGCCTTTCTGGGGCTGAAAAGAAAACCCGCCACCCTGGTCTCAGCCACTCCTAGAGCAACAGGGTACCTACCCATCTCCTTGAGCTCGGAGTTGATGAGCTCCAACCAGTAGGCATCAATCTCGTCCAGGTCATAGCGGCTGCCTCCGGGCCACACAGGCTGGGACCCCTCACCGAGTGCAGGGTGGTTTGGGGACACCTGCGCAGAGGGACCTTCCAGTGGTGGGAGGATCCTAGGAAATAAAGATCAAGAAGGCGGCCCTCAGCCTGCACCCTGCCGGCCACAGCACACTTCCAACTGTCCCCACCAGGACAGCTGGGCCTCAGCTAAAGCCCCCAACCCACATGGTCTGCCCGACCGAGCCTTGCAGGAAAGGCCGCAGTGCTGTCCTGGACAGTGCCCTGGATGGAGCCAGAGGGATCCCAGGGTCTTCGGCATAACCCCAAGCTGGACAGGGGCCAGGATCATCTCCACACCTCACCCCTGCTCCTCCTTCACCAACAGCCTGAAAATGCTACAATCTTGAGAAGATCCGAGGTCAGCATCCCGCTGGGGTCAGGAGCCCTCTCAGCCTCTACTACTGCAGCCAAGGGTAATGCTGTCCAGACCAGAGGTGTACCATCACAGGGACAGTGTCCTTCTCAGGTGCACCCATGAGCAGCCAATCTCCTTCTCTCTCCTCTCAGAACTCAGGGCCTCACACATCCTAGGCAAGCAAGGGCTCCACTGCTAAGCCACAGTCCTAGCCCTTTTTAAAATTTTGAGGCTGAAGAGATAGCTCAGCTGGAAAGATAGCTTGGTGGCCTAAGTTCAATTCCTAGTACCATTTGCCAGGCTACCCTATAACTCTAGCCCTGAAACTGGGTTTGGTGGCGCATGCCTGTAATCCTAGTGCTGGGGAGGCTGAGTCAGGAAGACCATTACAAGTCTGAACTGTGTAGTGAGACCCTGTACCAAATACGTAAAAGATAAATAGTAATAATAAAACACAATTATGAGTCCCACTACATTGTCCAAGCTGCCTTTCAACCTGTGAAGCTCCTGTCTCAGCCTCCTGAGTAACTATATTGTTGTAGGCAGCTGAGTTAGAAATATTACAGGCAGTCAGACAGGGAAGGAGCTGGAAGGAGCCAGTGCACAAGATGGGATACCTTGCAACTGTGGGAGAGACAGGCACCTCCGTGTGGGCCAGACCTCAAGACACAAGATTAAACCAGGGCGGGGGAGATGGCTTGGCAGTCTAAGCTCCTGCCTGGCAAGTGCAAGGACCATCCCCGGTACTGTACACTAAGCTGGCCACCGAACTGGGCATGATGGCACACACATGTAATCCCAGCACTGGGGAGGCTGAGACAGGAGGATCACTACGAGTTTGAACTGTGTAGCAAAATCCTATACCATTATTTATGAATAAATAAATAAATAAATAAATATCTTTTTTAAAAAAAAGATTAAACAAACACAGCCACATACCCCCCTAAGGATAGACACCGGGGATTGATATTCTAAATAGGTATCAATCACCTTCAAAAAGCCAGGCAGAGTCACTAACCCAACTCCCTGTAGGAACAGCTCCGTTCTGCATTCATGTCCTCTTGCTATGTGACTGGCTTCCCCATTTGATCCCAATTCAATCACTTTGACCTGAGCAAGTGTGCCTGTGACCTCACTGGTTAACCTCATGCCCACCTAGAAAGTTCTCGTGTTTTCCACCTTAGACCCGCCTCACCTCATGGTTTAGCTCTACAAAAAACCCTGGAAAAGACGGAATCATTGGCCACCCACTCAGGTCAACCCACCTCTCTTAGACAGAAGATTTCTTTCCCCCAATGAATATATTCTCATTCTCTCTCTCTCTCTCTCTTTTGGTGGATCCGGGGATTGAATATATTTTGCTCTTAACCTCTGTTGTTCCTAAAATTCATTCGTTTTTTTGGTTTTTTTTTTAATATTTGGCAGAACCGAGGATTGAACTCAGGCCCCTGTGCTTGCCAGGCAAGCGCTTCGTTCCAGGTATCTTTCGGTGGGGAGTTTCTTTCCCCAGTATTGGGATGACAGGTGCTCCCAGCAAGTTACTAGCAACCCGCCTCTGCGCTCGACCAAGACAGACACCACACTCCTGGTGCCCCAAGATGCACCTCCTCTGGACCAGGGTCACATCCTTCTCTGGCTGCAGGCAGAGACCAGAGTCCAGCTCTGCCACTGAGTGTCTCACAGCACCAACCTCACACGGCCGGTGAGAGATTACAGGCTTAATGAAAGCAAAGCCCTGAGTGCCTGGCCCAGAGCAAGCACTGCGCACGCGTGTGTTCTGAGACCTTCGGACAGCATCTTGTTAACCCTGAAAGAAGATACAAGGAGGTGCTTTGCTTCGAGAGGGCGGTGTCCCCTTGGCACAGCTGTTTGCTGCCCCGCACATCCTCCAGATCAAATGCCAGCTCTTTCCACCTCCCGCTGGTTGCCATGGTTATCGCCTCTGAGCCTGGCCTCTGTCTGGCCAACCCTGCTGGGCCCTAGAGGCCCCTCAGTTGCCTCCTGGGTCGGAGGCAGGGATACCAGGGGCTGTGACTCTGCAGAGTCGGGAGGGGAGGGGAAGACAGGACCTGAGGTGGCATCAAGATGTGGCCAAGGAGTGGGCAGCACTCCCATACTCCATGCCTCGGGGACTCCCATACTCAGCAAGAGAGCCAGGAAGGACGCAGGAGACCAGGAGAGAGGCAGAGACCCAAGCGCAGAGAAAACAGCTCCAGGCCTGAAGAGTGGCCGAGAGGACAAGGAGAAGGGGTAGGCACTGCCATGCCGATCAGGTGATTCTAAAAAGAAGCAATGCTAATAAGCGGTCCCGCGAAACGCTGCCTTCCCCTGAGGAACTGTCATTCTAACAAATGTTTTCTCCTCAAAGCACAGGCTGTCATTTTGGCCTCCTGCTCTGCCTACGTCCTGAGCCTCCAGAGGGCCGGCTAGTGGCATAACCCTGCTCATAGCTGCTTGCCCTGTCAGCTGCCACCTGGTCAGACCTGTGGCTCCATGATCACCCCCTCCCGCGGGGGAGCCAGGGCTAAGGCACTCACACCGGAATGGCACTGCCCTGGGTTCCCAGGCTCGAGTCCTCCCCTGGCTTTGGGAGCTCGCCTGCTGGGTATGGGCGGCCCGGAGCATAAGGCCAAGACCTCGTCCTCAGCCACCACCAGCAGCACAGAGCCCAGTGAACAGAAATGGACAGACCAGAGGGTGACTCTGCCTTGGGTCACGTCTTCTGACCATGAGTTAGGCAGAGCTGCCCACAAGCCAAGGAGGGAAAGATGGGGACAGGGAGCATTGGGACAGGAGCTGAGAAAGACTGTCACAGCTAGCATGCACCAGGCTCTCTGGGCCTCCCAAGGATAGCCTGGGGTTTCTTCTGTGGCCTGTGATTTCCTGGGCCAGCCCACTAGACCCCAGCAGCCTGCAGGAAATCCCCCAGAGTTCCCCCAACTTCCTCCTCTGAAAAATGGGGCCAATATTATGTAGTGGATAAGACAAGCAAGATCACTCAGCGAGAAGATGAGGCCCATCACACAAGGACTCAGCTTGGGGCTCTTGCAGGGATCTTACCCACTCTGGCTGCCCCATGGGCTTCCAGATGCCCCACCCAGGGAGACGGAGGAGCTGGTCCTTGGGGAGAGAGGAAAGAAGAGGCAAGGAGAGCTCACCACATACCCCTGACCGCCAGGTTTATCCTCTCCAAACCATGTACAGTGCAGTGCAGGCCAGGAGCACCTGGCTCAAGCCAGCCCAGCACAGCCCTGCGTGCGCTGGGAGTGCACCTCGAGAAGCCAGGGCAGCCTGAACACATGCTCTGCGCTGGATGTCAGCAGACAAAGTACCCGCAGGCAGGCGGAAGCCAAGCTCCAGTGTGGGAGCGCCTGCAGTGACTAGCCAGCCAAGGGGACAGCAAGGAGCGACGACGGCCAGCAGGGTAAGGCGGGTCAGGCTGGTGCTCTGTCTAGCCAGTGGTCTGTCCTTTCTCCTTCGTGGTCCTGGGCCCTGGCACATGCACCACCAACTTGCCATGTATATTCTTCCCTAATCTGCACCATGCTGTGCCATCAAATGGTACCCTGCCCATCTGACAGGAGGAGAAGAGCTCAGAGGGTCAGCTCACGGTTTGGGGAACCAGCGTGTGGGTGCGGCTGGCAAGAAGCTGACCCACATCACTGGCGCTGGCAGGGGCAGCGCAATAACAAATCCACTCTCCCATTCCTTCTTCCCCTGCAGGAGGAAGGGCCCTGCCAACATCCACAGAGCAGCTGGCAGGCTAAGTCAGCTTGTCCGTGACCCAGGCCCAGCACAGGCTGGCACTACGTGTCTACAAACCAGCCACAGGCATAGCTGCCCTGAAGCGACAGGACCAACATCGAGGGAGGCAACAGCTATGATCTGCCCCAAGCCTGGTTTGCCAGGTTTAAGCAAGAGCTGCGGGGACCAGCAAGGGGCAGTCAGTGACCCCAGGGCTCAGTTCGGGCAGGCGAGCAGGCAGGGGAGGCCAGGAGGCCAGGCCCCTCTGTGCGGACTGTCAGAGTGCACAAGAAGCACATGGTGTCACCCCACCAGAGCATTCAAGTACCCACCAGCACAGGAGACCTGAAGGCCACGGAGCTGTGGAAGGAACCCTCTGCCCCCACTGGGGACACCAGCACCTGTTTCAGGAGCACCTACCACTTCCCGAGAGCCTGGGAACCGTCCTCACACCCCTAAGAGCTCCTTTGTAACGCTTAGGGGCGAGGCTGAGGCAGGAGGATCACTGCAAGACCAAGGCCAGCTTAGGCTGCATAGTGAATTCAAAGCCAACCTGAAATGCACTGTGAGACCCTGTCGCCCCAAAAAGAAAGGCGAGCCGGGGTGAAATCTCAGTAGAATAAGCGCTTCCCCAGCAAGTGCAAGAGCCTAAGTTCAGTCCCTGGTTCTGCAAAAAAAAAAAAAAAAAGGAAAAAAGGCTAACAATGTCATTGCTATTTGCTTTTTAATAAAATTATGGAAAAATAAAATAAAAATTTTAAAAAGAAAAGCTAAGAATGAAAAAAAAGAGTGAAATAAACGAGATCCAGAGTTCTATCCCCAGTACGACCACCACCAAAAAAAAAAAAAAAAAAGTTAAGAGCATGGTTTACCATGTCCCGTGGCACATAGAAACCCACTGATCTGGACTAGGGCTGTAGCTCAGGACAGAGCACCTGCCTCCCATGTACAAGGCCCTGGGTTCAATTCCCAGCACTGGGGAAAAATAAGTATGGCAGTTTTTCCCACCCACTCTCTTTGAGGGACCCAGTGTGCAGTGGTGGCGCCCCAATCCACAGCCAGTTTCTACAGATCCCTTGGCATATACCCAGGCCCTATACGAAGACTCTTTTAATTTTAATTTTTGGCCTTTTGAAATGGGGTCCCACTCTGCAGCTGAGGCTGGCCTTGAGCTCACTATCTAGCCCAGGCTGGCCTCCAGCTCACATCAACCCTCCTGCCTCAGCCTCCTGAATGCTGGGTTACAAAGGAGTGCCTGGATTACAGGTGTGCACCACCATGCCTGGCACATGCACCACGTTACTGCACCTTCAGAGACACAGAGGAAGCTAGTAATACGGTAGTTCCCATTTCACTGCCAAGGAGAGCAAGGTCCAGAGACTACAATTCTGGCCCGTGGTCACACTGAATGCGACCAGCAATTTGAACTCGGGCAATCAGGCTCTGCAGCCGAGCCCAACACGCAAAGCACTGCCAGTATTTCGGAAACACTCAGCGATCTGTCGGTGAAAAGAAGCAAACAGACTGGGGCAGGCTAGGGAGGCACCCCAGGACCGGCTGATGCCCCAGCTGGAAGGCAGTGTCCCCGCTCCCCTGCCCTGGCCAGGGGCCCTGCTCACCTCACCACGGGCTCTGGGATGGCCTCCGCGCCAGCAGGCACCTGCACACCTTTCTCCCACTCCTGTCGCCACGGGTCTGCCAGGACGTAGTAGTCATCCGGGCTGAGCTGGTAGGAATCTGGAATCTTCATGGCTGTGATCAAGTCTGTTCGGAAAACCTGCCGGGCAAGGGGGGCGGGGCTTAGGTGGCCTCGGGCGGGCTGCTGCTCCGCCAGAGAAGGGGCAAACACCCTCCGCTGAAATGGGCTTCCCGCCTGCTCGCTCAGCACACAACGCAATGGGAGCAGGAAGAACCTGGCAGGTGCCTCGCAGGCAGCAAACCTTCCAGCAGAACACACGGGCTTCTGACCTGTGAGAGCCTCGGGTTTGGGTGATAGATGGGAGTGGGTGTAAAAGAGAAGGGGAAAGGCTCAGAGAAAGACAAATACAAAACAAGCAGAAATCAAAAAGGAAAGAACAGAGGGCAGAAAGGTATCTGCGCCAACGTTCTCTAACTGCTCCACGAATTCCTACACAGGTTTATATCCCTAGGCACAGGTGGCTGTGTAGAATAGCAGAAGCCACCGGCTCCCCACAAATAGCAAAGGATGGGGCTTAGGGCCGCGAGGAGAGTGGTTCCACATGAGCAGGGCCTTCCAAGCTCCCCCCAGGCCAAAGACGGGACTTCTTCTCACCAGGGTGGGACTGTGACGGAAAGGAAGAAGCAGGCTGTCTCCCGGCTTCATCAAACCTGACTAAACACCCTCAGGCCAGGGGCTACTTCTGCCGAACCTGTGTCCCCCCACTGCCGTTCTTCCTGGGGCTTTGCCGTCCCCTACTTTCACCCTGCATACGCTCCAAATCCACACCCAGCTGGCACTGGGCAAGGCCTTCCACCCCTAGTGTTGAATTGCACTGTGGCTCCCAACAACATGCTGACGTGAAATACAGTGGCCTCTGCACACCACGTGACCTGCTCAGACACCAGCATTCGGGTGGTCATCACTTGAGAATGACAAGTCAAAGGACTCATGTCAGTAAGACAAGAGACACTGCTTTAAGAAACACACCAGGCCCGCCCTCTGGGAAAAGGGGTGCCCACTGTCGAGTTCAGGTGGGTCAGCTCCTGTCCTTTGCAGGCCTCTTGGGCAAAGTGAGTCAGAGCTGGCTGCTGCCCCCAGCCACAGCTATTTCACCAGGCACATGTATCCTACTATAATCTAGAACCAGGACCACTAGGAAAAGACCGAATGGGCATGCACTAGACCTGGAAAGCGGTCCCACAGAATCTAATTAACATCTGCGCCTAGCTAGAGAAGACTCCGCCCTGAGAAAGTTCAAGGTTCTTTCTTTCTTCTTCTTCTTCTTCTTCTTCTTTTTTTTTTTTTTGCGCTGCTGGGCAACTGATCCCAGGACTATGTGCACTTCTGCACTCTGCTACAGAGCTACAGCCCCAGCAGGTCAAGTTCTTGAAGCCCCTATTTGCCAATATAATTTAATTGTTAAGATTAACACTCTAACATTTAATTAGGGTGTCAGTGTGAAAAAATTAAAATCAGATTATGATTAAATGCTAATTAAACAGAAGATGGAAAGTGGCTAAGATTTCACAGCCCCGATAATTTGCATATCTTAATAAGCAAGCAGTAAGATAGCTAATACAACAGTGAAAACTGGATAGTTCTGAGGAGCCCTGCAGCAGCCCCACTTTACTGGAGGGAGACTTGCACCACTGAGGCCTCTGGTACTGTCAATTTCAAGAGGCCTACCCTGGGCTACCTTCTTGGGGCCCAACACAGGTCGTGCCAAGGGCGAGCAGACCCCAAAGTGACCCGGACACTTCTGCCACGGGAATGAGCACAGCCACCACCTTGCTCCATAAATCAGCCTTACAAGAACCCCGACTCCTCAGCCCTTCTGTCCCCGGGGCTCTGGCCACTGCCCTTGAGTAAACTTGAAGCCAAATCAGATAAGGAGAACTGCAGGGCACACCTGGCCCTGGGCCCCAAGGATGGCCTTGCTGTCCATCGGTCCATCTCCCAAGCACTTTTTTACCCTTTTGCAGGTGGGAGGTGCTGTCTGGGACCCTGTTTTTTTTAGTTAAGATTTTTTTTTTAA